CTGGAAGTGTTTGGGATTCTCTTTCTAGCATCAACACTACAGATTCCATTTTTGGTCTGAGTGCTGCAGAATCCTGCACACACAACATGCCTACATGTATGCATTTCATAACTTCATTAGGATTACATGAATTCCGAATGGCAGGATCAATGAGTTCCATTGGCTTATTTTCGTTCCAAAGATCCCATGCCTGAAACAAGTTGAGATTCCACAATTAGTGTTGTGAAGAAAAGTTCAGTTTCTAATTTGAGAGTATGCTGGTCTTGGTAGAAACACATATATACTTACATAACCAATCAGGCTGGTGTGATCAGATGAACGAAAGCTTGTGTTCTTCCGACCACTCACAATCTCCAGTAGTATTACACCAAAGCTATACACATCTGACTTTATTGAAAATAGGCCTTCCATTGCGTATTCAGGAGACATATAGCCACTGCAGTGTAAAACGGTTGAAAATTAGATCTATCAAGCTGTTAACATAGGTTGAAAAATCAGAGGATGGAATGCTTACTATGTGCCTACGACTCGGACTGTAGTTGCTTCATATTGATTAGAACCAAATATTCTAGCCATGCCAAAGTCTGAAATTTTTGGAGTCATTTCTGCATCCAATAAAATGTTGCTAGCCTTCAAGTCCCGGTGAATTATTCTAAGTCTTGAGTCCCGATGAAGGTAAAGAAGTCCTCTTGCAATGCCTTCAATAATTGCAAAGCGTTTCCCCCAGTCAAGCAGTGCTTGCTTGGTTTTGTCTGCCATAGATTTCATCAGAAACAGAAGAGAACTATTAGCGCAAAGTACAACGTAAACAGACTCACATATTAGTTAAGTAATTTCTTTCAAAAAGAAACATACAACCAAATATGCAAATGGGCATAAGGAGGAACATACCAAAAAGAAAGCGATCCAAACTTTTGTTTGGCATGTACTCATAAATAAGCATCCTTTCTTCCCCTTGAATGCAGCAGCCTAATAGTCTGACAAGATTTCTGTGTTGCAGTTTTGCAATAAGGATAATCTCATTTTTAAACTCCTCTATTCCTTGGCCTGATCTTCCTTCAAGCCTCTTCACAGCTATTTGTTGACCTCCAGGGAGCTCTCCCTGGTGATGGAACAAAATGCTGTTACTTATCTTTGTTGCATTTGGAATCACTAAAGGATAATATATAACAATTTCAAGAATTAAAGGTTCACCTTGTACACAGGACCAAATCCCCCTTGCCCCAGTTTCTTTTCTTCAGAGAAGTTGTTTGTAGCAGCTGCCACACATTGGAAATTGCACAGTGGTAACTCTGGCCCATTAACTTGACTCCCATCTATAACAAGCTCGGCTGATACAGACAGATCTGTTGAGAATTCTTTGCTTTTGCTCTCATTAAATGTTGGAATGCTGCTGCAAACTTCACCTTTCACCTTCATATTTCTCTTGAACCTCCATAGAAGCCATACGGTTATGCACAGGAAGCACAGTCCGGCCACAACAATTATAGCAATTACAAGGTTGGAGATCATTTTACCACTACCTATCAAATTTGAAGAGAGAAATTTTAAGGTCATCTAGCAATACCAATTGCCAAATTATCCTAACATATTCAAAGATTCAAGCTGAAACGGTAAACTTCTCTAATAAGAAAATTTCATTCTTCATAGATAACAATTACCAAAAATCATATCATCAAATCTATAATTGCAATTGCGGTCCTGAGAAACAAATGGAAGAACAGAATATTTTGGAATTCAAAAGAATTTTAAACAACTGATAAGCTCCTATTGCTTTGAAAAGAAGATAAATTTACCTAATTCAGATTGAGGGAGACGAAGGAACATCAAGTTTCCACCATTGTCAAAATGCTGAACATCAATCAAGTCTCCATTCCAAATAATGCATCCAATCCCAGTAATATATGCATATGCATTACATGAACAATTTGCCATGCATTTTTCACTGCAAGTCTTTGAGTCTCCCGGAGACTCTACCTTTCCAAAATCCGGTAACTTCATGCATTTAAATCCTTTGAAGCCATCCTGCTTACCACTTCCCCCTGCATCACTAGGTTTCCTCTTGCATTGCAGCTCAGTCCTCCTTTGGCACCCACCTGACCAATCCCCTCTATTCCATTGATCTGGAAACTTTGGTTGAAACCCTTGTGGACAGTGGCACTTGCGAGATTTTGAGACATCACAGACCCCAAAATTCCCACAAAAATTGTATAGTTCACAATCATTGCTAGGCTCTGATTGCACCACTGTCCAGTTCTTTCCTAGACCATCCTCCCACTTTAACTGCTCTTCCTTTCCATCCCAGCCTATTCTGAACCTCAACAAACATGAAGCATTTGATAGAACATAAGACAAATAAATGCTTCCATCTTCATTTAGCGGAGAAATCTTGAAACCATACAAATACCTAGCCAACGAAGTCATATTTGGGACACCAGTAAATACGACTCCAGTCCACTGTCCACTTCTCCACATCCTTCTTGTTTGATTCCATATCACAATCTGAGGTGATCCAAAAGGATCAATTCCCATACTGAAGTCGCCCGGCGAAGGATCATTGGCAGATTTCCATGATCTAAAAGCATGATTCTCTCCCATGACAGTACTCACCAGAACTCTCATTCCTGGGAGAAATGTATCTGTAGGATGATCAAAGCTCTGCCAATAGGCCTTGGTAGTATCGCCCATGCTTCCAATACTTGACAGAACTAAATTCCCTGTAACCAAGAGAATTGCTACCGTGTTGCTTGATTGAACCGAAGCATTAGATGTCCAGACTATGCTGTTATTACCATCTAAAACCACTAAATTACCATTTTCTCCTATCCTCAGAACCCCATTTCTGTCAGATATTGGAGCATCTCTATTGGCTACCCATACCACTGGACTTCCCTCAGTCTTGTAATACCAGATTCCCACATATCTGAAAGTAGAATTTCCTGGACTGAAAAAACCCAGTTCAAAAATCTCACCTTGAGAAATCAGGGTTTCTCCTCCATCCCTTATTGATTCGCCCTGTCTGATTGTGTCAATTGCGTGGCAGAAATGAGAAACACAAGAAAACAATAGAAAAAACAAGAAGAAAGGAAAATTAACAACTGGGTTTTTGATATCAACGCTCATTTCATAAATCTCTGGAAAACACAGAAACTCATGAAATGATAGAGATCTAGAAGAAATGGATACAAAAGGGTATGCTCAGTTTTTGTCGTTCAAGGTCTTCAGAAGAGAAGTAGGACAACAAAACCTTTGTAGCTTTGCAGAAATACTCGGTAACCGTGGGCAACGTTTGGTAGTAGTTCAGGTCAAACCCACCATTTGAATTTTTGACCGAGGTGCACTATGGAGAAAATGAATGTAGGGTCAAGAAAGTTGAGCGCTCCGACCATTTGGAGAACATAGGTTAACTTCAATAAAATAGAGAGTACAGATCAACTTGATGGATTTAAAGTGATTAATTTTTTTAAAATATTGGTATCAAAATTTGAATAATAAATTTATCAGTGAAATAAATCTTTAAAGTTAATATGTTATTATTTAAAGATATAAGAATTTAGAGGTAAACTTTTTTTTTTCTTAACAAGCAACTGTAATTTATCAAAAATAAAAATAAAAAGACAATTGTAACAAAGAGGGTGGGAAATATTACAGCTATTAAGTGATATTTATTGATAATAACTGTTCACATGAAAATTAATAATTTAATTATTTTTATTTATTAAAGTCATTAAATTGATATGCATCTATTACTGAATCCAATGTCATATATGTCAAATATATGAATTTTAATAAGGCCACTTCATGAAATAGCACTAAAAGCTGAGGTAATTGTATGATAAAATTTTCAACAATAAGAATGGTATATTTTTGAATGTATCAATGTTTACAAGAAGAAGGTGACGGCTTAAGATGTGTTAGTTCGAGTTTAATATTATTAAAACTGGAAGAAAATGAAGAACAACCGCCCACGTGATAAATTACAAGGCGACAAATTTGACATTTGGAGTGTCATGGAATGGAATGGACCAAAGATAGAATCTAAGGGCCCCTACATTGGTCGTCAGGAAAACTTACATTAATATATTGCTTCTTTTTTTTTTTTTCATTGGAATCTGCTAAATAAATGGTCTTTGTTACTATAATTTCTTCATTAAGGCTAGGGTATGTAGAATATTAGTCCTAATTCTAATTCACTAATTATTGTTGTGGAGTAGTTCTTTCATACAACGAGACTATTACAAAATACCATATTAGTGGTAATCTTATTCATTAATGTGACAATATATTAGTATGTATAGCTTTTGTTTGTAATTAAAAATATTAATTTATTATTTAATTATAAGTGGAGACTATATATATTAAGAAATGCATGTCTTTTAGCCTAAACTGTATATTAAAAATATAATTTTAATTCTAAAATTATTAAGTTATTATTAATAAATAAATATAATAAAATATTTCATTACCAACATTTTAATAATTTTAGTATAATTAGACTATATTTTTAAAGTACAATATAACTTAAAAAATACTGTTTTGATAACATATGAAGATAGAGCAGATAACACTGATGTGGTATACGATAAAAATTTCTAGATGTTTAGAACTTAGAAGTTGGTTCGAAAATGCATGCATTTGCAGAATTCATTAATTTCTGTGCCACTAGCACCAAATTGGACTTGGCTGCATTTGTTAGGTATATAAGCAAGAACAATGAAACCTATGCTAATACTAATTTTTCTTATTTTATTCTCATTAAGTATTTTTGAAGGAAAAGTTCAGCCTTTTCAGGTAATGCTACGGCCGCCAATGAATTTTTTGTTTACCTTTTTTTTTACCTTAAGACTTTATTTACTTAATGGCTTAATTAATGCAAGAAAGAAGCCCGTATTATACGCAACTATAGATGACCTTTCTTTTGTATTAAGATTTTTTTTATCACATATATTTAGGACGGGCGAGTTAAAAATATATTAATATTATATTTTTTACATTAATTATTATAAAAAAATAAAAATTAATTTTAATTTTAACAATTATTCAAATAAAATTATTTTTTATATTTTTTTATATACATTAAAAAAATACAATTAATATATATTTAATTTATATTATAAGAAAACATATTAAATAAACCCTGCGTATGAATAGACTTTTTACATTTTTACTCTAGACGATTTGAATGGTTTGCATGAATTTCAAAGAAAGAAACAAACAGCACAGGAGGTTCGTTTGGGTGTATCTAGGCATCTTGCATTGTGATGATTTTATAATTTATATACTATTTTTTAATTTAATAACGGGCAAATTGCACACTAGTGGTTTTAGGTGGTGCACTTAACTCCCAAATCACAAAAAAAATGCACACTTAACTTCAAATTATGAAAATTTACTCTCGACCCATGATTTCGAAAATGTGCATTTAACCCTAAATATTTTTGAGATTTCGTGATACTTCTAATAAACCTGGTTAGCAGGTGAAGTCAAGTGTTTCCATGTTACTAGTAGGAATGGGAAGCTACTTCCCAAGATTTTAGAATGGGAAAAGCTGATGGCCAAATTAAAAATGTTTGAACTCAAAACATACCCTGAGAATCCACCAGTTTCCGGCAATGAGACATAAAAGAGAGAAAATTCTCTCAAATAAATAATTTTATTAGATCAAAATCTCCACAGCAATTATTCAATTTAAAGTCTTAATCAAATACATAAATTTTCTAAAAGCAATTTTCAAAAATCCCTGGGTAAATAAACAATTAGAAAACAAAATCCAAAACAGATCACACAGCAAACTAAAGGATTCCAGTTTCTATGCATCAGTTATTGTTCATCTCAAGAACTTGTTTCCTACCGGCCTTGAACGCTTGAAATAGTCACATCATTTACAGAGTAATATTTGAATTCATCTTGTGAGGAGGACTGGGAATTTAAGAAAATCTGTTTGTGAGAGAAAGGAGGTTGTTTTGGAGGAGGAAGATCCACAATCTCACTATTAAGCATTGAAATGACTCTGGACATTGTAGGTCTATCTTCTGCAAACTCTTGTACACACAGCAACCCCACATGTATGCATCTAAGAGCCTCCCTATGGTGGCAGGGATCAGAAATCGCCTCATCGATCAAAGCTGACATGTTGCCTTCACTCCACAATTTCCATGCCTGAGAAAAGAGCATAGATTGGCTTCAAAATGAAACTGAAAAGCTAAAACAGTTGAACATTTGTCCTTCCTCTGAATAACAAAGCTTAACTTACATATCCCACTAGGCTTAAAGAGTGCTTATCATTGTAAAAACTTGAGTTTCTTCTTCCACTAACAATCTCTAGTAGCAAAACACCATAGCTGAACACATCAGATTTCTCCGAGAACAACCCTGCCATTGCATATTCCGGGGGCATATAACCACTGTATTTAAACATCAAAACACAGCATTACTTTCGGAGCACATAAGGTGGGATTATGGTTTCGAAAAGTATTTAGGAGAAGAAAAAACTCTACTTGACTACTTACTATGTTCCAGCAATCCTTCTAGTATTGGCATGATCTTCATCCCCTCCAAAAATCCTAGCCATTCCAAAGTCTGAAATTTTTGGATTCAGCCTTTCATCCAACAAGATGTTACCTGCCTTTAGATCCCTATGAATAATTCGTAGTCTAGAATCCCTGTGTAGGTAAAGCAGACCTCGACTAATTCCTTCAATGATGCTGAAACGTCTTCCCCAATCCAGTAATTCATTTTTGAGTGGATCTGTAATCATCAGAAATTTGTCACATTGAGGGTAATGAGATTTGATAAGAAAACTTATTTAGATTCTGAAACTAAATAAAATGGAGGATGAATCATGCTCTTACTGAACAAGAATGAATCCAAGCTTTTGTTTGGCAAGTACTCATAGACCAAAATCTTCTCTTCGTGATCAACACAACAGCCTAGGAGTCTAACAAGATTTCGATGCTGGACATTGGAAATGACCAATACTTCATTCATGAATTCTTCTAACCCTTGTCCAGAGGCTCTTGACAGCCTCTTCACTGCTATTTCCTGCCCATTGTGCAATGTTCCCTAGAAAAAGATAAACAAGTAAATAAAACTTTTCATTTGACAGACTATCAAATTGTTGGAAGCCGGCATTTACCCTGTAAACTGGGCCAAAACCTCCCTTTCCTAGCTGATTCTCAAGATCAAAGTTTTGTGTTGCATTTGCTACTTCTTCAAAGCTAAACAATGGTAGCTCTTGGAGTTCTTTGATGCTGTCTCCACGCATTTCACTAGAAAACTTTGAACTTGTTTTCCTTCTATCAAACAATTTCATATCTTTGATTCTCTCTTTCCGAGCTGTTATAAATCAGTAGCAAATGTTGCATCAACAGTTACAAACTTATAAGTTGGTAAGTTCAAACAGCTAATAGAGGAGAAAATAGGTATATTACCCCTACGTTTTGCAATTAGTTTCCAAACCAACGCTGCACAGATGGAAATGATGGTGATTCCTACAATTCCTGATATTGTCACAATCATTCCAACCTTTCTATCTGCAAACCAAAAACATAAATAAGCAACTTATTACAATAAGATCATCGAAATATTAAGAGAAAATAAAAAAACATACCTAGTTCTGAGTATGGCACACGGATGTAGAGAACTACTCCACCACCGGAGAACTTCTGCATGTCAATCAAGGCTCCATTCCATGTCATACAGCCTATATTGGCATCATATGCATAAGCAATACAGGAACAGCTTTTCCGGCACCTTTCTTTGCATTCAACTTCCTGGATAATGAACCGCTCTACAAAGTCAGGTACTTTCATATTCTTCAGCTTCAGAAATCCATCTTTCTCCCCCACTTCACTGACGTTGTCTTTTCTATGGCACTGCAAAGGTGTTCTTCTAACACATCCACTAGTCCAATTTCCTCTGTCCCATTCCTTTGCATTTTTGGGTTTAAACCCTTTCAAACAGCTGCAAATTTTTGGCTTCTGAGAATAATCACAGCTTCCAAATGGCCCACATTTTCCATAAACATCACAGTCAGTTTCCGGGATGGACCGTTTAATCTCCCAATGGTTCTCATGGTGATGCCAAATTCGTTCCACCAGTTTTCCTTCTGAATCCAAGAGAAAATCTAACAAATTAGACTCATCAGCGAAAGCAAAAGTAAGATAAAGGGACCCTTCTTTGTCAACCACAAGGTTAAACCCATCAAGAGAAAAAGAATGCATATCTGGTACTCCAATAAATATCCTCCCATTCCACGGACCACTCCTCCAATATGGCTTAGAATTGTTCCATACAAAGAATTGAGGAATGCTGGAAGGATCAATCCCCGCTGAGAAGTTCCCAATAGATGGATCAGAAGCGCTTTTCCAGGATGTCAGCTGGACCTTCTCACCTGTTCTCCTATTAAGACCGACTTCCATCCTTGGCATTCCAACATTAGTAGGTTGCCTGAAGCTCTCCCATATGCTCACCCCAGTGGTTTTATCGACCAGGACAAGATTTCCAGAATCCTGAAGCTGAGCACTTGTGTTTTTCGCTGCCAGGTTTTGGACACTTGATGACCAAAGAACCTCCTTCTGCCCATTCAGGACTACAAGATTGCCATCTTCAGTGATCATCACAATCCCGGAGGAGTCCTTCAGCGGCTTTTCCCTGTTGGCCACCCATATAACACCATTGGCAGGATCAATGCCATAGTACCATATTCCTACAAAAAGATCAGTAGAATCAGTGAGGTTGAAAAACCCCAATTGGAATTTCCTGCCATTTGAGATAATAGATTCAGGAAACTTGATGGATTTTGATGGTGTGATGGTGTCTGTAGCAGTAGCAAACTGCAAATAAGAACAAGATAGTAAGAGAGAAACAGCTAATGGCACCATTGCAAATTCCTTGATTGTCATGAAAAATGGACGCATTTGACTTAAACACGAAGGCATGAAGAGCAGTACTTTTGTAAAGACCTTTAGCTACGTAGCTTCAAGCAAAATAGTTCTAAAAAAATGAATAAATAACCACGTGACAAATAAAAAAGCAACAAGATTGATGAATCATCACATGGAGGATCATTTGTTAACTACATTGCCCTGGATTTGGATCTCTGATTTAAGTTTTTATCCACTTTAATGGGTTGTTCTGTGCCCAAAAGCAGTGGGTGGTATTTTAGTCAATGTCCCATGTGCAGCATGGTGTTATTTAAAAGGGGGAAAACAAAATACAAGTGGATGTTTGGTGCAGCTGGTGAGAAGTGCTTTTGAAGTCCAAAAACTCCAACCGCATCAAACAACCCAGCTTTTGAAATTTGCTCCAGCCTCAGAAAAGCTAAAGCCAGCCTCCAGCCTTTGAAAATGGAAGAAGCAAGAAATCCAAGCTTTTGTGCGGGCTCCTGGCTTCTCTTTAATGAAAATTGTTGATTATACTTATTTTACCTTCATATTTTAACAAAATTACAATTAAACCACTATATATACTGTTAAAAATCGCGAGCTTAACTTTTCCGGTGTCCTCATCTGCCGATTGCTCCTCTACCCATCTTCTCCATCTATCGATTGCTCCATCTTCTTTCCCTTTTTTTTGATTTTGTATCTCCCTTTGGCGATTGCTTGCTGTACCCATCTTCCATCTGTCGCACTTCTCACTAGATCCAGATTCCAGCATCCTCATCCTCCTCATTCCAAATCTAGCGAGTAAGCTCCTTGTCTTCAAACTTTAATCTTCTAGATTGCGGGTTTTATTATTGTGGGTAATTACACTAATAATATTAGTATTAGCTCTTAGGTAACGGGGAAGTGTCAATCCTGGGACTCAAACTGCATATCACCAGGAGTGCCCTCACTTTGCTTCTCAATGAGAAGTGTGGCCACTGGGGCCACATGGGTGAATGGCTAATTTGTAGTATAATTTAAGTTAGTATTTCAGAGAGATGGGACCTTGAGATTTGAGTATTTGAAAGAAAAAATAAACTTGGCACATTTGACATTTCTTTTGTTTTTTCTAGTTTTTCTAGTTTTTCCTTACTCACCTACCAGGAAAACTGGTTTTCTTGTAATGTGCCTACTTTGATATGTTGTTAAGATTTGGAGGTGGAATCTGAATTTGGGGATTAAGAAGTTGTTTCTGCATCTAAGATGGTATCCTCTGGTTTTCTTTTCTGTTAACCTTTTTTTTTTTGGCTAAATTTTGACATTGCATGTTATGCTAGTGTAAGATTTAAGTTTGGTTTTGCCCAGTAAGTTGTACTTGCATTATTATTTATAAGCGATGGAGGCCTTCCCTAACCTTAGAGATTTGCATTTTACTTATTGGACTTTACATTGAGTGTTGATTCTAGTAAGCTTTCTTGTTTGAAAATACCTTGAAACCCAAAATCATTTTTCTTTCTACTTGAAGTTGTTTCCCCAAAAATCTTTTAGTGGTCTCCCACGTGTGAAATCTGAGTGTGGGCGTGCCATTTTCTTTGTTGAAAGTAAGAAAAAAAGATTTTCCCAACGACCTCCTTCCTCACGGTCGACCTCCTTGCAGATGGCGAGAAGAACGTTGGATTAAAATTGAAATCTGTACCTACAGACGATTTGCAAGAGGGTGAGATACCTTCCTGTAGAATGGATTATTTGTCTTGGACAACTCCAAGGACTTAAACATTACTGTAAATTAAAGTTAACAAATCCTAATTAAACTAAATAGCATGCAATTTAAAGTAAATTTACGAGAACAAGATGCACCCAAATTAAATTAAACAAGTTCATTGTTAAATTAAAATGCTATCTACTGACAGATCTGGAAATTAAACTGCGGCAGAATTGGAGATTTTACCCTAATTAAAATTAAAACAAACATGAACAGGAATTAAACTAACATGCTTGAAGTTGAGAAGAAGCGTGAACGTCATATAGGTAATCATTGAATAAATACTACTTATCATAAACATTAAATTAATTGCAAATAAAAAAGGAATAGTACCTTGAAGAAATTTAAAAGATTGAAGTTCATTACATGAAACGAAATTGTTGAAACGAATACATGAATTAATTTGTCTACTAAAATGATGAAAAACAACTAGATCTACTGGAAATTGTGTTGAAATCCAAAATTGAAAGCAATTGTAGAGAAAATGAAAGTCTAAAAATTTGCAGGTGTTTGAGTAGGGCTGGCTGTGTGTTCTCCCTTCCAAAATTTCCTTTTTGTTCTCTTTTTGCCTGTAGTAACTCCCCACTTTTTGCAGTTACAAAATTGTGGGTGGTTTCTTGAGGTAGTAGGACAGTTTAATAGTTGATTTAGTCAGATCTCCTTCCAGATTTTTACCACCTGTGTTCTTATCTAATAACTCCCTTCTATAATTGCAATCTCCTCCTAAATTTCAGCTAAAACAATCCCTTGTTGACTCAAAGAGATAATTACATAGTAAAATTTTATCTTTATCTCCCTTTTTTACCAATGTAGCAGCTGATCTGTCATGGAGCCCAGACTAACAAATCTAATATAGCAAAATCTCCTCCATCCATTAGAAATTTTTAACACATGGCATGATCTTAAATTTTTGCAATTTATGATGTAAACAAAAGCATTTCTAGCTTTCCTCCCTCTCTCCATTGCCCTTTCTTTAGCATCTAAAATGAGCTTGCCTCTTGAAGTTTCTCGACTTTCAGTCTGTATTTTCCTTGTTTATTTGCTTTTATATGAAGGCACGCCTCTACCATGTAGAATGACAAAGGAAAAATTATCTTGTACAATCTATTCTTTTAAAGATCTAGATGCTGCCACCATTTATGAGTGTGTGATTGTTAACATGTCATTTAAAACTTCTTTGTGGTATGAATGTGGCATCAAATTTAGGCTAGGTTCTGCCTCCCACTCCCCCATCCCCCTTCCCCCTCATTTTTTCATTCTCCTTTCTTTTTGTACTGTTACGTTTATTTTGTATTTTGTTGTTCATTTAAAGAGCAGAGACATGCTTCGCTCAAGTAATATTTTTTTTGGATAAACACTCAGCTGGTAATTGATGTTTTCTTTTTGATATCACTGTATTGTAAATTCCCTATTATGCATCTTTTGTTGCCTTTCATATTTATTGGGTGTAGATGACTCAATTAGACCACTTAGACCAGTTCAATTCTTAATGTTGTTTGAGCTTGGTGAGTTAGTTTAGTTAAAGATATTATCTCTTTACATGTATTCATGTTTTCCTGTTCCTGGTTTTGATGATCTTTCATATTCGTTGCAGCTTTCCGTGAGGAACTGTTTCATTAGAGGATCAGTTGTGAGAGATGTTCAACTACCACCCGAAGGAGTGGACGTCGAATTACTTCATGACGCCACAAGAAGAGAAGCTCGAGGCGGCTGAAATTGATAGGTCGACCTTTTCACTATCAGCATATTGTAATGAACATCAAAACATCTGAATTAGATGGCTTTGCTTGTTGCGGTTTTTTCTTTGGATCAAACCTTATCTTGACATTGCTGATTGCTGTTTGCCCTGTGACAATTTAATGAAAAATTTTTTTCCCAATTAATCAGTATTTATCATATCTTGGCTGCATGATTAACTCCTCTAATCTAGGAAACTCCTAATCTATACTTCGATATGATCATGATTATTAATGGAAACTCAAGATACAAAATTCTTAACCCTAAATTTTTAATCCACGTGACGTGGATGCCAAATGAATTGTTTTAAGCATATTAAAAATGAAGAGTCAACATGTTTTTTTTTCCATGTCATCATTCCAGTTGGATGCGAGACTAACGGACATTAATAGAGTCATGAGACATTTAATAAATTAAATTAAAAAGGAACTGAAATTCTATAAAAATGACAAAAAAAAGAGAAGAAACAATGCTCTTTTAAAGAAAATATTTTTTAAATTTTTAATAGAAAGTTTGTCAATATAATTGTTATTGTCAATTTTTATTTTTATTTTCTTATTTATAAAACTTAAATATATTATGTTTTATTTTTTAATATTAAAATATAAGTATTTATTTATCTATTAATTTTAATTTTATTAATTATTAACATTTATATTTTATAAATATAAAAATTCTATTTGTAATCATCAACTTTAATATAATTAAATTAAAAAAATTAAAACTCTATAAAAATGTCAAAAAAGGGAAAAAAATACCTTTTTAAAGAAAATGTCATTTTAAATCATTTTAAGGTTAGAAGATCTTTTATAAAAAAATTTATTAAACAACTTTACATTCTAAAAATTCTTCAACTATACCAAACATGATCTTAATTTTCATTAAAAACCAAACACCTTCAATTTCTCAAAAAAGAAGATTTTTATAATAAATTCTTTTAAATAAAATTTTCATTAAAAATTCCAACTATAGCAAACATGATCTTAATTTGTTCGTAAAATATGGTACCTACTACATGTAGAAACAAGGAAACCAAACTAGTGATCCGACAAGTATTCTATTTCTTTATTTTTAAAAATGATTTTCCGTAGGACCATATCCCCACAACGTCAACAAAAAGTGCGTCAAACAAAACCCGGAAGGAGTGCTATGTGCCGGAAAAAAAAAAAAAAATCAGTTGGTCGTGAAATTTAACAAGCTGGAATTTTAAAGGGAAAATTTATCTTAAATTAATAGATGAGCCCCTAAACTAGTACAATTAAAGTCTCAAGTTAATAAAAAAAAGATGCAAATAAACCCTTATCATTAATAATCATTAATGACCCAAAAATATGACCTCACGCTGTCTTTCCTTCTCTTGGTCCCACTTTCATGTAAATGTTGATGTGTATCAAATGAACCTTTAGGTGGTAAAAATCCACAACGTAACCATTTTTTAATTTAATGTTCTTAGGTTATGTGGGTCATTTTGACAAGATTTTTATCACTCAATAGGTGCTTAAATCCATGTTAACATTAATCCAAAAAAGAGAGACTAAGTGAAGGAAAAATACAGACAGCATAAGGTCTCATGTGTTGCATCGTTAATGATGAGTATTGATTTACATCTTTTTGAGGGGTTTAAGAGCTAATTTGCATCATTAAAAGGGTTTAAGGGTTTATTTGCATCATTTTTCAGTTTAAGGACTCACATGTTAATTTAAGGTAAGTCTGGGGGCTTTAAGAGGGGGGTTTTGCCATTTTAAGGCGGCGTGGTGTAGTACAGCATTGGGCTAAGTGGGCTAATATTATTGGATTTTATGAGAAGTAGAAGTAGAACCCATGGGCCCTACACATTAATATTTTATTTCATGATAGTGATAGATTGATAATTGGGCCTACTCCAATTTTTAATTTGGTCATCACCCAACCCATTACTGATAATTAGGCCTGTTCCACTCATGAACTCGATTTATTTTGATTTTTTAACAAGCATTTGAAACTCAAGCTGGTTTAAGTTAATTTAATCCATCAATCAATGTGCAATTTTTGAAAACAACAAACAATATAAATAAAAGAAAATTTTATATAATTAATATTTTTTATTTAAAAATTCATTCGTAATATTATTAATTTGTTTAATATTACATCATATTAAAATTATAAATTTATTTACAATCCATTAGTGAAAAAAAGAAAAAAAATAACAATTGGCTATCAATAATCAATGATCCTATACCGGGGAAAACAACGAAATCATGACACCAAAATTCCAAATGAGGAGATAAAAATAGAATAGAGGGATTACCGATTTGCTATCTTGTAGAGAAGTGGAGTTACGAACCGTCGCGGCATTAATTCAATCCAAAATGAGATCTCTTCTTCTCTGCGATCTGCGTTTTCCATTTACTAGTATCCCTCTCTTCTCAGCTGAATTGCTGCTACGCACCATCTCCTTCGATGCCTGTAACTTACTTTTCCTGCTCTCGCCAAACGCTAAACAGAAAAGAAAACGGAGGGAAAAGGAGAACTACTCTCGAATCTTTTAGATGAGAAGAAGAAGCCGGGTCGTTTATGTCAGTGTTTCGGAATTAATTGGGCTCGTATACAGAAAAGCCCACAAATCTCGACTGGGTTAGGTTCCTGTCTGATCCTTCAAAACCAACCTATGGCCCATTCTTTTAATATAAACGAGTCCAGCCCGTATATGTATACAATGAACAATTTGACATCCATAATGTTATAGGGCCTAGACTTCAAAAATTGAGAAAGGAAAGGCGCAAACCAGGGTTGCAGGAAGTCAGGAACCAGAAAAACGAAAAAAGGGTAGAGGCCCAATATTATCACTTGTCACTTTCAATGAGAAATAATGTCCAAAACTAAGATTTGGAAAAAAAGAAACTACGTCTCTTTGTTGTTTCGAACCTGAGTGCGAGGGTTTGGACAAAGAAGAGTTATTTTTTTATGTAACTTATTATTAAATGTATACAAAAAAAACTATAGGAATCTAAAAATTAAACCAATAATACTAGAACCAATGCAGGCTACTTCCCTTTTCTTATGACTAATACTATCTTCAAGTTGCC